CAGACAGGAGAAGGGGCTTGCCAGCAGCCACCCAGCTAGAAGCCAAGCCCAAGCCTGCAACTCCATGTCCCCCTCTTCCCAGCCTGGAAGCTGCCTGCCTGGACCCAGGATGCCCTCACTTCCCAGGCTCAAGAAGGCCTTCTGGGAGTCTCAGAGCTCATGTGTCCACTGAAGACGCTTGGACAGAGTTGGGAATGCTTCCTGGGAGAGGTAACATTTGAGATGGGCCTGGAAGAATGGGCAGAGTAAAGCAAGTAAGTAGGAATGTAAAAATGACGGGAGGCCCCAGCTTGCCCAGAGACATAAGGTGAGGAAGTCTGCTATGCATTCAGAGTGTGGCCCACCCTGGGGTCTGGTGGACTAAAGCCTTGGATACCCAGATCAGCCTTAGTGGGATGAGGCAGGAAAGACAGCTGAGGGTCAGCACCCAGGCAGGTCCAATGCCAGGGTGGGCATTTTGACTTGGTGAGACACTTCACCCTGGTGCCAGGCTGGGACCAGACCACAGATTTCAAGCTGAAGCCTGGTTTTTGCAGGAAGGCAGCTTTGCCTGGAACCTCTCAAATCTCAGCACACTTCTCCTCTGGTGTGGCGCTACATGGTGTGCCAAAGCAAACATGGGTGGGCAGAGCAAGTCAGCAGGGTGGCCACTTGCCTTGGAGGGATTTGATGACCCAGAGCAGAGAAGGGACCTGTCATAGGGATCTCTTCCCTGGCATGAAGATGGCACATTCGAATAACACCCTACACATACACACACACACACACACACACACACACACCACTTCTTTCCAGGACTTTGTTCATACTACAAGGCCCACAAGCACTCTGCATCCCAGGGTGAGTGGGGAAGGCAGGCAGAAGCGACTGGGCAGTGCCCTCCTGAGCCAGGCAAAGGCCAGCTCTCACACTGGCTCCACCACGAAGCACTCCCAGCAGCTGCCCGGTGGGATTTTTCTTCTTAGATGCTCTTGACAAATGTGGCCTCTGACACTCAGAAAGATTAAACCATGGTGTGCCCTTAGTGACATGGTTAGCGAGCCACAGAACCAGCCCCTAGACAGGTCAACCCCTGCCCAAACTACCCCTGGGCTGACACAGTCTCAGGCATTTGTCCATAATAGGATAGTGGGTGAGGGGGAATTCAAGCCTGAGTCACAGGGCTTTGAAGCTGGAGCCGGGATCTGCCAACCCTCAGAGGTGCCAGGGGTGGGCTTGCCTCTGACTCACCCCCATACCCTGAGCTTCCCCTGAACAGTGGCTTCAGCTCCTGACCACCTTTCTGCCCACCAGGGCCCAGCTGTGCCCATCTGGGTCATTCATGGCTCAGGATTCCCAGTAGTTGGGCAGGAAGGCCAAGGCCTTCAGGCAAGGAGGTGCCCCAGGCACACCCCTGCCTAGGAATGCTGGCCTAAAATCACAGTGGGAACCCTGGCTTTGCCTGCCTCATGGGCACCAAGTTATCCTGATGATACAGGCACCAGGCACTTATTTTTAGCTGACACTTAATTCTAGAATGAAGTACTGTACTCCTGCGTGGCCCAGCCTCCTCGTGGCTCACCCCTTCCCAGGAAAGGCGGCCTCCTGATGGGGCCCTGGGTGCGCCTTGGAAAACATCAGTTCTAAGCAACACAGTGGGTGTGACTCTGAAAAAATACCAGCTACATGTCTTGGCTGGTGGTGATGGTGGGATAGAGGAGAAGGCTGGGGTTCCAGCCCCTCCAAGCACAGGGGCCTAGGCCTCAGAGAGAAAAGCATGCAGACATCCTGGGTCTCCAGGATCCAGGCCTAGCAGGGAGACCTCTGGCAGGGTCCTCCCTAGACCCCAGCTTCATCATCTGGGTGTAGACCAAGGGCCCTTTCATCTCTGACTTTTTCCTTAAAGATAATCTCAAGTCTTCATCGTTAGAGCATTTTGAAGAATGGCATCAGATGAGAAAAGGGGCCTAGACCTCTTTAGAAGGGGTGTCTATGCAAAGCTTTGTCTGATGAGATGAAGCCATCTTGTTGCATTTCATTTCACACCAGTGTTTGGCACAGATCATGGGCCCAGACCCGTACTAGGCTCTGAGGTGGGGATTCCAGAGAAGACCATGCTTCAATTAGCTCATCATATCAGTGGGGAGACACACCCCCCTCTAGAAAGCAACCAAATAATATTTCCAGGACAAGTGTAATATGCCATTCAAAGCTCTTCAAGCCTTGACCCTCCTAATCTCTCCAATCTCGTTTCTTATGAAGGAGGATGGGTGCATGGGAGGCTGGTTGAGTAGATATGCTAATGGAAGAATGGATAAAAGGTTTGATGATAAATAGACTGATGGAGAGAAAGAAAGCGGATGGGAGGAAAGGTGGATAGATGGGTGGGTAGACGGATGGATAGATGGATGAATGGATGGATCAATGGATAGAAAGAAGGTGGATGAGAGGAAAGGTTGATGGATGGATGGGTAGGCGGATGGATCAATGGATTAATGGATAGAAAGAAGGTGAATGGGAGGAAAGATGGATGGATGAGTGAGTATACGGATGGATAGATGGATGAATGAATGGATGGATGGATCGATGGATCAATGGATAGAAAGAAGGTGGATGGGAGGAAAGGCGGATGGATGGATGGATGGATGGATGGATGGATGGATGGATAGATAGATAGGTGGGTAGGTGGATAGATGGCAGGATCATTGGATAGACATGGTATAGGCTGTTGGTCCCATAGCAGATAAGCATAAGGGGAAAAGTTCTTGCCTAGGGCTCTCTGCCTGCTGAGAGCAGGGAAGTGTGCCCTAGAAAAGAGTTACTGTGAGGTGGGAGGGCTCCCCAGGGGTTGGGGTGTCAGGAAAGCACACTGGGGACACGTAGGCTCAGGGCCAGGCTTTGGGGCTACACTGACTTGCTTTCTAACCTTGGCTCTGCCACTTTCTAGCTGTCTGACATGGGGCAAGTCGCCCTCTCTGAGTCTCATTTCTTCATTTATAACATAGGGACTCATTACAGTAACTACCCCAGAGATATGTTGTGACAGTTCACGAAGCTAATATATGTAGATCACTTAACGCAGGGCTCAGAATATATTAAGCACTCAATAAATGCTTATTTACCCTCTATTCCTAAAAGGCTAAGTGGGGAATCTGGCCCTTAGCCCGTTAGAAGTAACTCATCCTAGAGTTACTCATTTCAAAAAGTCCAGGAGGACTTACATGGCCTCTTAACAAGTGTGCCTTGATTGAACCATGTCTGCTTTCAGCTGAAATTCTAGCAGTTCCATAGGCCTGGCTGACCCTGCTCTGATTACCCTTAGTTTGATAACAAACAGGGCACATTAATTATTCTTTTAAAAGTACGGTTTATGTGGGAGACATAAATCTTTCCAAATGGGCTGAGACGGAGGGAGGAGGACCAAGGGTGTCCTCCAAGGTAAGCCATGGAGACCAAGGGAGCCGGCCCCGCAGGTTGAGGCTGCCCTTGCAAAGACCCAGTTTGAGGACAGTGGTGTGGGTGGTGACTGGTCCTGCTGGCTCAGGGTGAGCTGTGGCTGATGGCAGGAGGCCCAGACCACCCACCAGAAAGAGGCCCTGAGGCTGAGTGGCCCCAGGCCTGAGTAGGGGCAGCCCAACCCACAGCATCTGGGACAAGTGGTGATGGGAATGTCTGAGTCTCCTAAGTCCCTAAACCCCAGCCCAGGCTGGCTCCAGGGCCAAACCCTCCCCAACTCCCAGCCCCCGCAAGCTCCTGTCATCTCCCCGAGCCAGCCCCTCTTCCCAGCTGCTTGCTCTGCTAGGCCGTCTGCATGGTGTGTGCCTGCAGCAAAGACACCGTGTCCCTTCCGCTGGGTCTGCAAACAGAACTTCCCAAAACCCCATGAGGCCAAGTGTCGACGGGGAAATGACTGGTTTTGCAGAGGTGAAAGAGCAGAAGGCCTCAAGCTGCAAGAGCCATGCTGCTGGAGTCTGCCGGCCTCCAACTGGGGAGCTCTAAACTCAGGTCAGCTTGATCCTGAATGTCACAGGCAGTCAGAGGTGAAAGCACCTCTCACCATCAATGGGAAGGCAGGACACCTGAGGCCAGGGAGAGGAGCCCTAGGCCACAGAGCATGAAAAGCAGAGCTGGCACAAAGCTTCCTGGTACAGGGCCTCAATCGCAATCCCAGGCACCTGCTGCAGCCCAGCCCTGTTGTATCAGACATCACCAGGACACTTAGACTTCACTCCCATGCAACCTCTGTTCAGCTCAGTGTCCACAGCTGCTGGACAGCTGCTTGACAGGACCATATTTGCTCTTAGAGCTGGGACTATAGAGGGAGCTTTGGGGTGCACAGAGAGACAGTCTAACCTCATCCCAGTGCCCCAGCCTTCCTGCCAGTGGGGTCCCTCCTGACAGCCTTTCTCCAAGGGACCCAGGATCCTGGGCTCAGTTTGAACCCCTGGGAGAGCTTCACGGTGTACAGGAAAGGGTGAGGCACGTTAGGAACCAAGAGAACATGCCCAGCCCCATCAGTGTCTTGAGCAAGTTGCTCCTCCTCTTGCACCTCAGTTATCTCATCTACCAAATTGGAGTGGAGACAGGGGGATTTCTAGGGGGCAGTTTCTAGCCCAGTGCCTTACTCAGAAATACACTCAACTGCTCTCTTCTGCCAGCCCTCCCTCCCGACACATCCCTGTTTCTCGGATTGGGCTGCTGCAAGCATAAGGGAAACAAATCACTTAGTGAGTAAAGCAGTTCTCTTCAAATTCTGAGAGGGTGACCTTCAGTGGCTCCCTACCCTTCCCCCTGCAGCCTTAACAAACTCAGGCAGGTGCCAGGGCCAGAGCAGTGGAGCCAGGGGGCCATGAAGCCAGGCCACCTAGAAAGGACAGGGACAGTGAAGCCAGGACAGTTATAGGTGGCAGGGTCAGACAGTCCGACCAGCCACCAGAGGCAGAGGCGAGGAACAGAGGCCCAGGCTAAGCGACCCGGGGAGCTGGGGTTGACTATTATTAACTCAGCTTAATTTTCCCTACCTGGAAACTAACTCTTGTCAGTGAGGTAGCGCTGTTCCAGAAATGGTTTCATCCCCTAAGATCCAGGCTCGCTCAGGTTCCTGGGCCAGTCCTCTCCATTTCACAGGAGCCCTGTTGTCCAGCTCAAGCCGAGGGCAGAGAAGGAGAGAAACCGGAGCCGGGCCCATCTCACAGCTCGCTGTGCTGACGCTGCAGGGCTCCGGCAGCGGCCCCTGACTTGTCGTCACCCTTCTTTCACACCCGGGAGGGATCCTGTCTCTGGGTTCATTTAATGCTTCTATTATGTTTCCCCGGCTGGGAGCCTCTGGTTCCCTATTGTCTTGAACAGGCATTTTGCATTTGTGTAAAGATTAGACGCCTTAGAACCTTCCCTCTTCTCCCTATGGTTTCCCTCTTTTACTTTCTCAAATCCGAGTTCTTTCTTTCTGGCTATGCACTGCTTCCTCATTCTCCCCTTCTCTCTGCCTGTCTTTATCTGCCTCCCTGTTTGTTTTCCTGCCCACCCTGGCCCCCTCCGTCTCCCCGCTGACCTGCTTTTCCTTCTTTCTTCTCTTCACGGTCCAGCGGTTTGAATTCTCTATCCACCCCCAACCAGCCCCCGACCCTGCTTAATTCCGTATTCATATTCTCTCAGAGGCTGATAGAAATGATTGTGAGTATTGCTCACCTCATTCCAGAAATATTCTTCTAAATTCTTCAAGAGGCACGACGTGGGAGGGCAGCGAGCACCTCACGGGGAGTCCCTTGTGCTTTGCTTGAGAGACCAAGCCACCTGCCCACTGGGTGGCCTTGGCCAGGCCCTGCTGCTCTCTGAGCCTCCTTGTGGGCAGTCCCCAGCTGACTCCCCTGTAATAATAGCTGCCTCCTGGGGTTGTGGTGAGGAAGAGTCGATAGTGCTCCAAGCACGTAGTAGGTGCTCAGGAAACATTTGTTCTTTTTTTCACAGTAGCCAGCCCAGCCTCAGGGAAGGAAGACCCTGCTGTCACTCTCCATCAGTTCTGCCAGTTTCTCCAGGATTTCACAGCTGCACGCTTGCTCTGGGCACACCCTAGGAAGATGCAAACTTGCCTGTTCCTGGTGGTCACCTATTGTCCCCTTCGTAAATGTCCAATGACAAAGGAGCTGCTGAATACAGGACCTGAGCATTGGGCATCCTGGGTTCTGTAAGTGGAAAGCCAGGTGTGTGTCTCTTCACCCCCCTGCCCTCAGGAAGCCCTCACAAGGCCCCTACTGTGTGCAGGGTAGGTGTCAGGCCCTGCCTCCTCTGGGGCTCCGGACCTTGAGATTACAGGGGAGATAAGTGCAATGATATGAGTCAGGCCGGCATGAGAGACACAAGCCCTGGGAATTCCGAGAAATGAGAGGGCCTTTCCTGCTGTGCCTGGAGACAGGGTCCCTGAGAAGACTCCGGCAGGAAGTGGACTCTGAGCCAGGCCGGGGCAGTAACAGAGGGTGCCTGCCAGGTCCCCGAGCTGCTCAGCACAGCTGTGGTTCATCCCTGCTCTCCCCTCCTCAGCAAGGCTTCTGGGCCAGCAGAGGGGCGGGAGCGGAATGCCAGCCCCCAGAGAGGTCCCCTGTCTTACTTCTTTTGCAGACAGTAGCCACCAGTGGGAGCCGAGACATCCTGTCATGGCCGGGACAGGAGACGGTTCAAGGGGCGCTTTGTGTGTGTGTCCTCAGGAGCATCTTTCAGGAAAGGGGTTTGAAACCACCTTCTTAGTCTCAAAGGAGCCTGTAAGCCAAGCAGGTGAAGTATCTTCTTGTTTTGGCCTTGTTTGCAAACAAGGAAACAGGCCCAGGAAGGATGCCCTTGGCCATGGCCGCATAGCTGAACAGCTTCTGGAAGGGACTAGAACTCCTGCCCCAGGCCCTGGGGTGATAGGGCAGAGGTTGAGGGGGGCATTTCCTGGGTGAGGTAGGGATGAAGCAGTTCCAGGCTGGTCAGAAGTCAGGCATGAGCTGTGTCCTTCACTGAGGGAGGCAGGCCCAGAGAGGGCTCTGACTCGCCCAAGGCCAAACAGCCTTGCGTGGGCCTTTCACATCCCACACAACAGAGGGGCATCCTTAGCCTGGTTGGCAGAGGGCAGGCAGGATAGATGGCAGAGTCTCCTCCGAGGAGAAGGGTTTTGCTCATGGAACCTCCTCCTCCACACTCACAGCCCTGGGCAAGACCTGTGGAGCAGCCGCCGAGAGAGTGAGGGAGGGGGCTCGGGGCAGCTGGGGGTGACTTGAGGAAGTCCAGCTGGACTGCGAGGGGCCCCTGGGGACTGCCGGGGATCCTCAGGACTCCCAGAGGTGCTCCAGGCACAGAGGGAGGAGCGGGCCTTCCATCTCCCTCCCCCCTTCACTGCAGAGGCTGGGTCGGGCCGGGCGCCCGGGGAGGAGGCGGTGTCCCTGGCTCCCAGCCCGCCGGTGCAGCGGGGCAGGGCTGGACCAGAAGGGGTGGGGCACAACGCCTGGTATAAGAGGCAGCCAGGGCACCGAGGCAATGAGCTATCTGCTCAGCTTAACAGCAGGACACTGGCAACAGGCGCTCCCTGCTCCAGGCCAGCCCGCCCGCTCCGCCGCTGCTATGGTCTCCATGCCCACCACCTGGTGCTCTGTTGCGCTAGCCCTGCTCGTGGCCCTGCATGAAGGTGAGCTGCCCTGGCCTCACCTGCTGCCTACAGCTCCTGGGTCTGTCTACCTGTGTCTCCCCCTGGGGCTGCAGTGCCTCCCAAGCCAGCTGGGGGCAGACAGGGGCGGGAGCCTGGCGGCAGTGGTCACAGGGGGACGGTTCTGCAAATGCAGAGGCGCCCAGGCTCCCCACGGGCTGCTGGGACTTCCCTGGGCTGGCCTGGAGCTGTTGAGCAGCAAGAGTGCCAACTCCCTCGATTATGCAAGAGGAGGGGCCCGGTGGGTCCCCCACTCCGGGATGTGCCAGGCACCCCAACCCACCTCTCTGCCTCTCTCTCCCTCCTGTGCATGCAGGGAAGGGCCAGGCTGCTGCCACCCTGGAGCAGCCAGCATCCTCACCTCATGCCCAAGGCACCCACCTGCGGCTTCGCCGTTGCTCCTGCAGCTCCTGGCTCGACAAGGAGTGCGTCTACTTCTGCCACTTGGACATCATCTGGGTGAACACTCCTGAGTGAGTATCCGTGGAGATGGGGGGCAGGAGGAGCTCTGGGGCAGGGTGTCAGGGTGGGAACTACTGGCATGCTAGGGAAGCTTGACACAGTCCAGCTCTCCCTGGGCCTCCAGGTGGGGGCGTTGGCTAATATCAGTAGTTAATTGTTTCAATTCCTGAGTGAGGACAACCTGAGCCATAAAGAGGGCTATCTCCTGAGAATTCTTAAGACAGCCTGGTAAGCAAGTGTTGGCCCCATTTTCCAGATTCAAGTACTGAGGCTCAGAGAGCTTAAGCGCCTTCCCCAAGATCACACAGGTAATCGTAAGGGTAGGCACCATCCTCGGTCAGGGAATGCCGGAGCTCACAGTCTCTGCCATGCTGCCTCTGCATGCTCTTCCAAGAATAATACGATTAGTGACAGCACCCGTGCCTTGACTATGCCAGGCTCTTTGCCAAGCACTGCACGTGCATTATCATCTCAGGCGCCCCCCATCCTCCCCATAAGGCAGGATATTCCCTCAAACGACAGATGAGAACCTGCCCTGTGCTACTGGCTAGACCCGGGTGGGAGCCCAGTGCTGTCTGTTCTGCCTGCACCCTCACTGCCTCCAGGCCACTGCATACCTTCAGTTGAAGTTTCTGTGTGTGTTTGTGATTTTTTTCCCTTCCCCAAATTGCAAAAGGCAAGAGAAGCCCTGCACGTAAGCGTGTGTGAAGCTAATCCGCATCCAAACACTTGCTTAGGGCGGGAACCCTGCCAGTCCCTGCGTGTTGCGTCTACCTGGAGTCACTAGGACTCCAGCCACACCGTCTAAAATTAGCTCTGTCACTCGAAAGTGCTGGTCCAGCCAGCCGCGACCCCTGCCCTTCCCCTGGCCCACTTGATCAGACTCTGAATCTGAAATCAATCCCATCTGAACACGCACACACGCACACATCTCACTTTCAAGTCAAGCCTCTAAGGCGCATTTGTTACCCCTCCAGGCAAGTGGGGACCAGGTGGGGGCAGCGTAGCTACGAGCCTGTGTTTACTTCTGGGAGATGGAGTGGCCGCCCTTCCTCTAGAGCTCGCTGAGAGCCTTCTTTGAGAACAGGGGGACCAGCCAGACTGAGAGGGGAGAGAGACTAGGAGGTTCCCAATTCCCAACTTCGGGTAGAATCACAGATTTCCTTCCCCCAGTGCTGGGAGTTCTGACTGAGCCAAGCCAGGCCCAGAGAAGGGAAGGGTCCTGCCAAGGGCTACCAGGACCCTTGTGGAGGAGCCTGTGACTTCAGTGGTATGACTTCTTGAGGTCAGGGGCTGGTCACCTTTCACTGGCACCTGGTGGCATAGGTGGCTGTCCCAGTGGGCAGTGTGGACAGTCCCTGCTTGCCAGTGGTTGTGGTTTATTTAATCCTCTCTCTCTCTCTCTCTCTCTCTCTCTCTCTCCCTCCACCCCACACCACTACCTTGCTGGCTGCCCGCCCACAGACAGACAGCTCCTTACGGCCTGGGAAACCCGCCAAGACGCCGGCGCCGCTCCCTGCCAAGGCGCTGTCAGTGCTCCAGCGCCAGGGACCCCTCCTGTGCCACCTTCTGCCTTCGAAGGCCCTGGTAGGTGGGCACCCAGCCTGCAGGGGCTTAGGGTGGCTGCAAGCCCAGGCATGCCCTGGGAAGCAGGTGTCTGGGAGACTAGCAGAGAAGCGAAGTGGCAAGTTGGGGTTGAGCAGCGACCCAGGGGCCCACAGGCTGCTTGGGTCCATGGCACTATCCCTTCCTGCAAGAACCAGTCACCCCTGGGGGCCTCCCGATGCCCAGCTCTGGGGGCTTCTGGGAACACTCATGTCCTCACTCCTGGGCAGGAGAGAGTCTGCCAGTGACGGCTGAGGCAACTCAGGCCCAGAGAGGGGGCAGGACATGTCAGGCTGCACAGCTTGTCAGAAGGAGGGCCGGGCCTTGGGCCTGGTTCTGTCTGATCAAGTCCTACTGGACTTTGGATTCCGACCTGAGGTTCAGGGGACTTTGCAACTTGCTCAGGGAAGA